TCAATTTAGAATGTATTACTGGTATGCACATTGGTATACCGGCTGTCAATTTAGAATGTATTACTGGTATGCACATTGGTATACCGGCTGTCAATTTAGAATGTATTACTGGTATGCACATTGGTATACCGGCTGTCCGGCTGTCATTGGTATAATTTAGAATGTATTACTGGTATGCACATTGGTATACCGGCTGTCAATTTAGAATGTATTACTGGTATGCACATTGGTATACCGGCTGTCAATTTAGAATGTATTACTGGTATGCACATTGGTATACCGGCTGTCAATTTAGAATGTATTACTGGTATGCCCATGGTACAATTGTATATGAAATGGTATTACTCGCACGTACTGTACGTGGTACAATTGTATATGAAATGGTATTACTCGCACGTGCTGTACGCGGTACAATTGTATATGAAATGGCAACGTGTTATATTTGTATATGAAATGGTATTACTCGCACGCGCTGTACGTGGTACATTTGTATATGAAATGGTATTTGTAATGTATTATGCGCACGTGATTCATGTATATAAGATGAGATATCAGTCCCTTTAGCTATATCGTGTACCTATACATAACCAGTTAATATCGGTAACAAATTATCGGTAAGTTTGCCTGATATGTATAGGAATAAATAGTTTAACATCTATACCATGCATATCAATTCGTTTCCGTAATTCTTTGACAACTTTCCTTTTATTTTGTACTAACGCTCCCAAATATCAGTTTAAATGACCTATATACGCTCTGCGTCCGTGGCCCGTCCTTCTGTAAACAATTTTTGTTATCGCTATTTCTTGAGAAGTTCTGAATGGATCTTTCTCAAATTGCATATGTAGTTTTCTTTTGGTTCCTAGTTATGCCCGTTTGATTTTGGGACTGATAAAAAAAACAAAATGACCGACAGCAACCGTCTTGGATTTTTCAATGAAGTAAGTTTCCTTTGACTTCTACTTGTGCCCATGTAATTTTGGGAATTATCAGAAAAACAAACTGACAAAAAGGCGGCCATCTTGGACTTTGAAAGTTTGTTATCGCTATTTCTTGAGAAGTGGAGAATGGCTCTTTCATAAATTTCATATGTAGGATCCCCTTTGTCCCTAGTTGTTCCCATTTGATTTTGTGTGTGATAAGAAAATGGCTGAGAGGCGGCCATCTTGTATTCTAATTTTGAAAAATTGTTATTGCTATTTCTTGAGAAACACTATATAGATCTTTCTCAAATTTCATGTATAAGTTCCTTTAGGTCCCTAGTTGTGTCTGTTTGAGGTAGGGACTGATCAGATAAGCAAAATGGCCGACAGGCAGCCATCTTGGATATTATCTAGTAAAGATTGTTATTGCTAATTCTTAAAGAGCCAGACCCACTCCTCGACCGATATTATTTTATATAATAAAAAAATCATGATTTTCTATTTTTCTCGGGTAGCAAAAGTTCTGACTAACCCTGTAATACCGCAATTTTAAAGTAAATCGCTACCATTCTAACGTAATAAAAAGTTTTAAAAAAGAATTCGAAACGACTCGGTGCTGATTCATAATTATGCGGGAAGTCCTGCCCTCTGACGCATGCGCAAAGAACTGTAAATAAATCTGCCGTCTTCCAACATGGCAGAAAGCGTCGAAGGAAGTGGGCCTCTTTGCAATTAATCGTAGTTTTTCTCGTAATATGCACGTTTTTGTGTCATATCTAAGCATTGAAAGATGTGATCAATACATACGTTAGATGATTTCCATTCAGGATATGTAGTGTATTGATTGCATTTATCGGTAAAATCTCTTTACTAGCGATGTCACATGGACGTACTACTCACCTCTTCCTACATTTTTGTTTTGGTTCTTACCGCGTCTGAACGTAGCACGTGACTTTTCCTCATCAATATTCATATCCTGGTGTTGATTAATGAGACTAATTCCGGCACTGATATCTCCGGTGGTACCCTTTCAATTTCAAGTTCGAAACTTTACACAAGTCTTTATTTATATATTATCTATTAGTATACAACATTTCCAGTCAATAAAATATGAAAATATATCTATAACGGAGTGGGTCTAACTCTTTAAGAAGTACTGATAGGATATATCTCATATTTCCATACGTATGTTCCATCTGGTCTCTCCTAGTGCTCGTTTGATTTTGGAAATGATCAGAAGAAAGAAAATGCTTTCAGGTGGCCATTTTGGATTTAGGCGATAAAGATGAGCATGGCTGTTTTTGCAAAGGAATGTTCAAATGTCTTATCATTAAGAGCAAAAACAGAGAAGAGAAGAGAAAAGAAGGGAAAAGTTATAGCTTTCAAAGAGCTTATAAAGATCAAACAATGTTTGGAGTCAAGATCCCTTTCTTATTTTATAAACGCCCCCGCTGTAAAATGACCACCCCGTCCTTGTCCGGAAAGCACCTAGCAACTTCATTCTTCGACAGATTTTGTTCAGACTTTATACAAAGGTCAATAATGAGTATACTTTGGACATCGTTGTGTTTTAGGGGCCCAATGTCAATGTCAAGGTCACCCTTGCTGTGTATACAGAATAATCAACTGATTTATATTAAACACTTAGCAACTTCATTCTATTATGAAAATGGATCAAATTTAACGCAACGACAAAGTACGAGTATACTTTGGACATTATTATGTTACATGGATTCAAGGTCAAAACCAAGGTCAGTAGTGCTTTACTTATAGATAATATCAACTAGTTCAATTTAAACACTTAGGACTTCATTCTTTCATCGATTTTGGTCAAATTTTATACAAAGATAAATTTTTGAATATCCTTCTTAAATGGTTGTGTTTCAGGGGGCAAATGTCACCCTTGCTTTATATCGTAAATCATCACCTGGTTCAACACTGAGTCTGATTTCACTTGGCGGCAGGTATATAATTATGTTTTACAAACATTTTCTAGGCTTTTAGCACACCATGGTCGGCTATTTAAATAGTCCAACGTCCGTGGTCCATGATGCGTCCGTACGTCCGTAAACATTCTTGTTATGGCTATTTCTTGAGAAGGACGAGATGGATCTCTCTCCAATTTCACATGTAGGTTTCCCTTGGTCCCTAGTTCTACCCATTTGATTTTGGGACTGATAAGAAAAACAAGATGGCTGACAGGCGGATATTTTGGATTTTGTTTTCTTAAGAATTTCGGGATAGATCTCTCTCAAATTTCATACGTAGGTTCCCCTTGGTTCCTTGATTTTGGGGCTAGGTTGGGGTTGGGATTTGGAACAACAACTATTGATTCAGTAAATTCTCATTTGCATAGCAATACCGTTATATCAACAGTCTTAAGGGCCCTGACTATCTAACCGCAGAATTAATTTTGTCTTGACAAAAAAAATCACGGCTAGTAAGAACCCTTTGGACTGTTATGTCGTGTGCCGTAAATGTCATTCAACGCCTAAATATTAAAACGTCGCTATTGTTGATATTGAAACGTTACACGGTCCACTCTGCGGATTACACGGTCCACTCTGCGTATTACACGGTCCACTCTGCGGATTACACCGTTCACTCTGCGGATCACACGGTCCACTCTGCGTATTACACGGTCCACTCTGCGGATTACACGGTCCACTCTGCGGATTACACCGTTCACTCTGCGGATTACACCGTTCACTCTGCGGATCACACGGTCCACTCTGCGTATTACACGGTCCACTCTGCGGATTACACCGTTCACTCTGCAGATTACACCGTTCACGCTGCTGATTACACCGTTCACTCTGCAGATTACACCGTTCACTCTGCTGATTACACCGTTCACTCTGCGGATTACACCGTTCACTCTGCAGATTACACCGTTCACTCTGCGGATTACACCGTTCACGCTGCTGATTACACCGTTCACTCTGCAGATTTCACCGTTCACTCTGCGGATAACACGGTCCACTCTGCGGATTAAACGGTCCACACTGCGGATTACACCGTTCACTCTGCGGATTACACCGTTCACGCTGCGGATTACACCGTTCACGCTGCTGATTACACCGTTCACGATGCAGATTACACCGTTCACTCTGCGGATTACACCGTTCACGCTGCGGATAACACGGTCCACTCTGCGGATTAAACGGTCCACACTGCGGATTACACCGTTCACTCTGCGGATTACACCGTTCACGCTGCGGATTACACCGTTCACGCTGCTGATTACACCGTTCACGATGCAGATTACACCGTTCACTCTGCGGATTACACCGTTCACGCTGCAGATTACACGGTCCACTCTGCGGATTACATCGTTCACTCTGCAGATTACACGGTCCACTCTGCGGATAACACCGTTCACGCTGCGGATTACATTGTCACTCTGCAGATTACACCGTTCACTCTACAAATTACACCGTTCACGCTGCGGATAACACGGTCCACTTTGCGGATTACACGGTCCACACTGCGGATTACACCGTTCACTCTGTGGATTACATTGTCACTCTGCAGATTACACCGTTCACTGTGTAGATTACACCGTTCACGCTGCAGATTACACCGTTCACTGCAGATTACACCGTTCACTCTGCGGATTACACGGTCCACTCTGCAGATTACACGGTCCACTTTATTGTTGTGGCAATTACACCGGCCGTAAATATAATAGAAAGACAGTTCAATGCCTATTTTATGGCATTAGAAGATTGTACTAATACACATACATTATAAGAACCTTTTAATGACTAGATATAGAAGGGCTAAACAACAAGTAAAACTGCAATATGGAGAAATACCTCTCGCATTACTTAACATAATTCCAGTGTTCATACTTCAATGTTTCAAATAAACCAAGAACTACGTGACCATTTCTGTCTGATCGGAGAAAAATAACAGTATTAAGTAATTTTTACTCCGCTGAAACTTTGCGCGCCTTCCCCAATCCCCACACACTTTAACAGAATGCCAATGTAATTTTATTTTCACCAAATTGTGATGATGTGGCTACCTAACTAGGAGTTCAAAAGAAGAAGGCGTGAAGACGCGCCAATAGGGATGATAAAGGAGTTTGAATGTTTGGCTGTATGTACTTGTTTCTGGTCCGAGCGGAATAATAGAAAAATGTTCTTCATTGACAAGAAACGAGTATGCTTAGATTGACGATGATAATCCCTTGGTCATGGTAATAAAAATACGTATATTACTAGTGAACGGCGTATCTTCAATGTGAGGGAACAAAACAGTTCATTTAGAAATTGAACTGTCATAGTCGGAAGTACGTCATCAATCGTTAACAGTGTATATAGTTATGTATTTCCGATAAGTAAATGTAGGTCATGGCGCCAGGTAATCCTGTTGACGTACATCACATCATCGATGCCATCTATCGGCGTAGTGGTAGATATAAACTTCCATGTGCTATAGAACAGGAAGTGCCTGCAGGCCAGTACGCTTTTCTCTGTCGTTCATTAGCACAGAGGTTCCATACTCTCTCTCTCTTTTACCGAAAATCGATATCACCTTTCGCAGATTCTTGACAGATTTATTGGTAATGCTTGGTGTACGAGGGACGGCCACCTGAGCTGACCATTCCTACCCTCGAGAATCTCTCGTGTCAAGTGTATTGATGACGTCATGGACTCGATGTTAACAACCATTCGGGCGCCAAATGCCCATTACCACCAAAGTAATGTTGTAGGGGGTATATCGTGCTGTGTTGATAAATATCTTTCATTATCGTCGCCATGATGAGAAAAATTGTGTTCCCTATAAATGCTGTTTTATGTGTATATTGTTAGCTGACGATACTGGACTGTCAGATTAATACCACAATGTGTTTTAGCTCACCATCGTCAGATAGTTGGGTTGTTCAAATGGCCTTTCGTCCTGGTTACTGCTGTTTCTTAGGAAGTACATGAGAACTTCATTTGTAGGTTCCCTATGGCCCCTAGTTGTGCCCTTTCAATTTTGTATTCGAACAGTGGAACAGAATCGCCGACAGGCGACCATCTTGGATTTCGGCAGTCGAAGTTTGTTGTCGCAATTTCAAGAGAAATATAGGGAGGGGTAATTCTCAGACTTAAAATGTATGTTCTCTGTGGTCCCTAGTTGTATCCATTTAATTTCGTCTCAGCTCAGAAAACAAAATAGCTGGCCGGAGACCATCTCGAATTTGGATAGTTGATCTTTGATATCGCTTTTTCGTATATGCTCATTCTTAGATCCCTTTGAGATCTTTTATCCGAAATAAGGGGTCCTTTGTGCGATATGAGGGGTCCTTTGTGCGATATGAGGGATCCTTTGTGCGATATGAGGGATCCTTTGTCCGGTATAAGGGATTCTTTGGCCGATATAAGGGATTAATTGTCCGATATAAGGGACCCTTTTTGCGATATGAGGGGTCATTTGTCCGACATACGGGATCCTTTGGCCGATATAAAGGATTCTTAGTGTGATATAAGGGATCATTTGGCCGATATAAAGGATTCTTAGTGTGATATAAGGGATCATTTGGCCGATATAAAGGATTCTTAGTGTGATATAAGGGATCATTTGGCCGATATAAGGGATCCTTTGTCCGATATAAAGGGTCCTTTTTCCGATATATGGGATTCTTTGGCCGATATAAGGGATTCTTAGTGTGATATAAGGGATCATTTGGCCGATATAAGGGATTCTTAGTGTGATATAAGGGATCATTTGGCCGATATAAGGGATTCTTTGGCCGATATGAGGGATCATTTGGCCGATATAAGGGATCGTTTGGCCGATATATGGGATTCTTTGTTCGATACAAGGGACCCTTTGTTCGATAAAAGGGATTCTTTGTTCGATACAAGGGACCCTTTATTCGATAAAAGGGACCCTTTGGCCAATATAAGGGATCCTTTGGCCGATATAAGGGATTCTTTGTTCAATATAAAGGACCATTTGTCCGAAATAAGGGATTCTCAGTGTGATATAAGGGATCATTTGGCCAATATAAGGGATCCTTTTACCAATATAAGGGATTCTGTGTTCGATATAAGGGACCATTTGTCTGAAATAAGGGATTCTCAGTGTGATATAAGGGATCTTTTTGCCGATATAAGGGATTCTTTGGCCGATATAAGGGATTCTTTGTTCGATATAAGGGATCTTTTGTGCGATATGAGGGATCATTTGTCCGATATAAGGAATCCTTTGGCCGATATAAGGGATTCTTTGTGCGTTATAAGGGATCATTTGTCCGATATAAGGAATCCTTTGGCCGATATAAGGGATCCTTTGTGCGATATAATGGTTCATTTTGCCGAAATAAGGGATTTTTTATGCGATATGAGTGATCCTTTGGTTGATATAAGGGATCCTTGGCCGATCTAGGTTTTAAACCAACATTACAGCATGCCTTATCAAGACAATGTGCCTCAATTCTCACCACCCCTCCTGTTCGGATATTGTGTCTCAATAATCAGTACAGAATCAGCACAATTCCCACCCCTTAAGTCCGGGCATTGTGTCTCAATAATCAGTACAGAACACAAAACTATTATAACAGCATCGACACAATTATCACCCCTCTAGTATCTACGCCTTTATCATCCCTCTAGTCAGGATATTGTGTCTCAATAATCAGTACAGAATCAGCCCAATCACCACCCCTTAAGTCCGGGCATTGTGTCTCAATAATCAGTACAGAATCAGCACAATCACCACCCCAGAAGTCCGGGCATTGTGTCTCAATATTCAGTACAGAATCAGCACAATCACCACCCCTCTTGTTCGGATATTGTGTCTCAATAATCAGTACAGAATCAGCACAATCACCACCCCTCTTGTTCGGATATTGTGTCTCAATTTTTTGCACAGTCTCAGCACAATTATCATCACTTTAATCCGGATATTGTGCTTCAACAGATACAGCACAATCACCACGTTTCTAATCCGAACATTGTGCCTCAGTTTTTAGTACAAACTTTATCACTATAACCTCTCTAATCCGGATATTTTGCTTTAATTGTCAGCACAATATTATCACTATTAACTGTCTAACCATGGAAGTATGAACACTAGAAAGAAAACGTTTCTGTTTCGTACTAGTTCTACAGTGTTTAGCACCATTGATTGCAAACAACGAAAATATACTAAAAGGATAAAGAAACGCAGGGTGAACTTTAAACCAGAAATTAAGTATGATATCGGGCTTCATTTAAAACGAAATTTTGTATACTTACAGATAAATTAAAGCTTAAAAATTTCCAAAGTCTGTATTTTGCATCTGACAATTGGTTTAGAGGTACTAACGATTAAATTGAATGGACCCATAGGATTTTGAAATTGAAATTGAACTGAGTCATCAATATCTTGTGTGTCCGCCGTTTGCTGTGGTCACGGCCCTTATTCTTCTGGTCATAGAGTTCATGAGAGCGTTAATCCGTCTTATGGGGATGTTGTCCCACTCTTCAATCAGAGCTCTGGTCAGGGGGAGGCTGGCGCTTTCGAACCTGTCTATCCAACTGGTCCCAAAGATGCTCGATCGGGGACAAATCAGGGCTATATGGCGGCCAATCTAGTGGTTGAATGTTGTTGTTGGCCAGAAAGACTTGGCAAATCCTTGCTACGTGGGGGCCTAGCATTATCTTGCTGGAGGGTTAGATTATGCTGCTGTAAGAAAGGGATAACATGGGGTCGGAGGATCACATCTCTATACTTAGCTGCTGTTAAATTGCCATCAATAACAACCAATCGTGATTTTAACCCGTGTGAGATTCCTCCCCACACCATTACTGAATCGCCCCCAAACCTATCCCTCTCTACAACGCAAGCGTCCGTAAAACGTTCGCCACGACGTCGGTAGACACGTTGACGGCCGTCAGATCGATAAAGATAGAATCGAGACCCGTCCGTGAAGAAAACTTGTCTCCACTGCCTCAGTGGAAACCGTCGTGGAGCATTGTGCAGCGACCCAGGCCATACGACGCTGACGTCGAGCAGGGGTAAGGTGTGGACCTACGTAGGGGCGACGTGCTCTTACACCAACTTCTCGTAATCGATTCCTTACAGTTTTTGAACTTATAGGACGCCCATGATTTCCACTCTCAACGGCAGTAAGGCGCCGATTACGCACATGAGAGACGACGATATAGCGATCCTGACGTCGTGACGTTACGCGCGGACGTCCTGACCTAGGTCGATCGGCCAATCGTCCAGTTTCCCGAAGACGTCTTACAAGACGTTCTATGGTGGAAACATTAACACCAAAGTGCCTAGCAACCTGATTTTGCAGCTGTCCTTGCATCAGCATCTGAATGGCCTGACCCCTCTGAACTTCTGTGAGTCGTGCCATTCTTAAAACGAATCAAATTCTCAATTGATTTTAGGGAAGCAGTTGGTCTGTATAAAGACTAACGAAGAGTGACTTGACCAACGCTGCATGAGACCAGAAAAACGCGGTGCACGAGATTCTTGTTTTTTCCTTCCTCCATCTACCAGAACTGCGCACTGTACCGTGACTAAATTTTCGATACATGACAAGATGTAATATGACCTAATTACTCAATCCACAAAGTTTCACTTTATTTGGAGAACGCGTTTTCAAAATATCGGAATAAATATTACCCTGCGTTTCTTTATCCTTTCAGTATATAACCATTTTTTTAATCCGGACAAAGTACACATGGTGACCTTACCATTAATCTGAACATTGTATACAATATGTTGTTACCATTACATTATACAATATTCAATACAAACTTACTATTCGTTCATATTGATATCCGCACCACCATCCGACCAATTGATTTTGACTAATAAAATTATCTAGTAAAATGTATGCCAAATGATTAAGTCAGCTTATATCAATTTGACCTTTGTAATTTGAGGGGGCTGTAGTCAGCAGTGATTAGTTATAGGGGCTTGTCCTTTGGGGGACAAACAGCCGCGGCGGCACATGTTTTATTTTTTTTATTTTTTTATCTTCTAATGAAATAACAAGTCATTTGAGACAAAGTGAACAATCCGCGTTAATCGGATATTTCTGTCTCTGTTGTAGTCGCAGATGTGCGCCCAAAAGATTGTCGAGTATGTCTGCTGTCAAGATGGTGGCTGTTGTGAGTGTTGTCTAAACGGAAAGAAGCAGAAGCTCACTAAATCTGACATACAGCACTCCTTTCGACATTCCAACTCGAGGCTCGATTCCACCAGTTCTTACGCCGAGAGCTACAGAAGTTTCCGGGATCGTGTGGAGTCTGATTCTGCGACTTCTCGAACGGACTCAGTGTCGTCTGCCTCTCAGATTAGTGGTGATTATCGAAAGGGTATGAACACACCCATTATTGATATGAAACCAATCGAATTTTGGGCGGCAAACAGAGAAAGTGTTCAACCACGTCAAGGTAGACGACGGCTCCCAAGCGAAACGGAAATTAGCATCGAAAACTTTCAGAGAGATTTGTATGAGGTGGATGAAGACAGTGAGCCGTGTCTAACTGACGAGGAAAAACTTGCCAAATTTCAGCTGGGCCAAATACATATTGGTCTACAATACGAAGTATCCACAAAAGTTCTGGTCGTCAAGGTGATCGAATCTAAGGACTTGCCGCCGCCATATTGTTTAGATGAAAACAAACAAGACCTGGCCCACTCAAATCCTTACTGTAAAGTTTGCCTTTTGCCGGATCAGAAAAATTCACAACAAACTTCCGTTCAACGTAAAACTCAGAGCCCGACATGGAACGAATACTTCATGTTTGAGATACCCTTTCATGAAGCCCAGATGCGGACACTTGAGATTCTTATCAAAGATTTCGACCGATTTTCACGGCATTGTATCATTGGGCAGGTATATCTGCCTCTTGCCAACATAAACCTCATCAAGGGAGGTCACATGTGGAAACCGTTGATGCCCAGCACTAAGGTAACCAAACTTATAATTTAAATCTGATACCCTACAATAGGGTAACCAAACTGATACACAGAATTGTGATAATCAAAATTTTACTAATATGTTTGAAACCAAGCACTAAGGTAACGAAACTTATACTATAGATCTGATACCTTACAATAGGGTAACCAAACTTCTTACAATAGGTCTGATACACAGAATTGTGGTAATCAAAATTATCCTAATATGTTTGCGATCAAGCACGAAGGTAACCAAACTTCGTACATATCTGATATTGGCAGTAAGGTAAAATAATCTGAGAGATGGCTGTGTTGGCGGTATGTTATAGTGAGAGATGACTGTGTTGGCGGTATGTTATAGTGAGAGATGACTGTGTTGGCGGTATGTTATAGTGAGAGATGGCTGTGTTGGCGGTATGTTATAGTGAGAGATGGCTGTGTTGGTGGTATGTTGTGAGAGATGACTGTGTTGGCGGTATGTTGTGAGAGATGGCTGAGTTGGTGGTATGTTATAGTGAGAGATGGCTGTGTTGGTGGTATGTTGTGAGAGATGACGGTGTTGGTGGTATGTTGTGAGAGATGACTGTGTTGGCGGTATGTTATAGTGAGAGATGACTGTGTTGGTGGTATGTTGTGAGAGATGACTGTGTTGGTGGTATGTTGTGAGAGATGACTGTGTTGGTGGTATGTTGTGAGAGATGACTGTGTTGGTGGTATGTTGTGAGAGATGACGGTGTTGGTGGTATGTTGTGAGAGATGACGGTGTTGGTGGTATGTTATAGTGACAGATGGCTGTGTTGGTGGTATGTTGTGAGAGATGACTGTGTTGGTGGTATGTTGTGAGAGATGACGGTGTTGGTGGTATGTTGTGAGAGATGGCTGTGTTGGCGGTATGTTATAGTGAGAGATGACTGTGTTGGCGGTATGTTGCAGTGAGAGATGACTGTGTAGGCGGTATGTTATAGTGAGAGATGACTGTGTTGGTGGTATGTTATAGTAAGAGATGACTGTGTTGGTGGTATGTTATAGTGAGAGATGACTGTGTTGGCGGTATGTTATAGTGAGAGATGGCTGTGTTGGTGGTATGTTGTGAGAGATGACTGTGTTGGTGGTATGTTGTGAGAGATGACGGTGTTGGTGGTATGTTATAGTGACAGATGGCTGTGTTGGTGGTATGTTGTGAGAGATGACGGTGTTGGTGGTATGTTGTGAGAGATGACTGTGTTGGTGGTATGTTGTGAGAGATGACGGTGTTGGTGGTATGTTATAGTGACAGATGGCTGTGTTGGTGGTATGTTGTGAGAGATGACTGTGTTGGTGGTATGTTGTGAGAGATGACGGTGTTGGTGGTATGTTGTGAGAGATGGCTGTGTTGGCGGTATGTTATAGTGAGAGGTGGCTGTGTTGGCGGTATGTTATAATGAGAGATGACGGTGTTGGCGGTATGTTGCAGTGAGAGATGACTGTGTAGGCGGTATGTTATAGTGAGAGATGATTGTGTTGGTGGTATGTTATAGTGAGAGATGGCTGTGTTGGCGGTATGTTATAGTGAGAGATGGCTGTGTTGGTGGTATGTTGTGAGAGATGACTGTGTTGGTGGTATGTTGTGAGAGATGACGGTGTTGGTGGTATGTTATAGTGACAGATGGCTGTGTTGGTGGTATGTTGTGAGAGATGACTGTGTTGGTGGTATGTTGTGAGAGATGACGGTGTTGGTGGTATGTTGTGAGAGATGGCTGTGTTGGTGGTATGTTATAGTGAGAGATGACTGTGTTGGTGGTATGTTATAGTGAGAGATGGCTGTGTTGGTGGTATGTTATAGTGAGAGATGGCTGTGTTGGCGGTATGTTATAGTGAGAGATGACTGTGTTGGTGGTATGTTATAGTGAGAGATGGCTGTGTTGGTGGTATGTTGTGAGAGATGGCTGTGTTGGTGGTATGTTGCAGTGAGAGATGACTGTGTTGGTGGTATGTTATAGTGAGAGATGGCTGTGTTGGTGGTATGTTATAGTGACAGATGACTGTGTTGGTGGTATGTTATAGTGAGAGATGGCTGTGTTGCAATGTTATAGAGAGAGATGGCTGTGTTGGTGGTATGTTGTGAGAGATGACTGTGTTGGCGGTATGTTATAGTGAGAGATGGCTGTGTTGGCGGTATGTTGTGAGAGATGACTGTGTTGGTGGTATGTTATAGTGAGAGATGGCTGTGTTGGCGGTATGTTATAGTGAGAGATGACTGTGTTGGTGGTATGTTGCAGTGAGAGATGACTGTGTTGGTGGTATGTTATAGTGAGAGATGGCTGTGTTGGTGGTATGTTATAGTGAGAGATGACTGTGTTGGTGGTATGTTATAGTGAGAGATGGCTGTGTTGCAATGTTATAGAGAGAGATAGCGGTGTTGGTGGTATGTTGTGAGAGATGACTGTGTTGGTGGTATGTTATAGTGACAGATGGCTGTGTTGGTGGTATGTTATAGTGAGAGATGGCTGTATTGGTGGTATGTTGTGAGAGATGGCTGTGTTGGTGGTATGTTATAGTGAGAGATGACTGTGTTAGCGATATGTTATAGTGAAAGATGATTGTGTTGGTGGTATGTTATAGTGAAAGATGATTGTGTTGGTGGTATGTTGTGAGAGATGGCTGTGTTGGTGGTATGTTATAGTGAGAGATGGCTGTGTTGGTGGTATGTTGTGAGAGATGACTGTGTTGGCGGTATGTTATAGTGAGAGATGACGGTGTTGGTGGTATGTTGTGAGAGATGACTGTGTTGGTGGTATGTTATAGTGAGAGATGACTGTGTTGGTGGTATGTTGTGAGAGATGATTGTGTTGGTGGTATGTTATAGTGAAAGATGATTGTGTTGGTGGTATGTTGTGAGAGATGGCTGTGTTGGTGGTATGTTATAGTGAGAGATGGCTGTGTTGGCGGTATGTTATAGTGAGAGATGACGGTGTTGGTGGTATGTTGTGAGAGATGGCTGTGTTGGTGGTATGTTATAGTGAGAGATGGCTGTGTTGGCGGTATGTTGTGAGAGATGACTGTGTTGGTGGTATGTTATAGTGAGAGATGTCTGTGTTGGTGGTATGTTGCAGTGAGAGATGGCTGTGTTGGTGGTATGTTATAGTGAAAGATGATTGTGTTGGTGGTATGCTATAGTGAGAGATGTCTGTGTTGGTGGTATGTTGCAGTGAGAGATGACTGTGTTGGTGGTATGTTATAGTGAGAGATGGCTGTGTTGGTGGTATGTTATAGTGACAGATGACTGTGTTGGTGGTATGTTATAGTGAGAGATGGCTGTGTTGGTGGTATGTTATAGTGAGAGATGGCTGTGTTGCAATGTTATAGAGAGAGATGGCGGTGTTGGTGGTATGTTGTGAGAGATGACTGTGTTGGTGGTATGTTATAGTGACAGATGGCTGTGTTGGTGGTATGTTAGAGTGAGTGTAATAGTAACTGATGTGTTGACGGGATGTTTGGATTGGATTGTAATGGTAACTGATGTGTTGACAGGATGTTTTAATTGAAGTGTTATGGTAACTAATGTGTTGACGGGATGTGTTGATTTGATTGTAATGGTACATAATGTGTTGACGGGATGTTTGGATTGGAGTGTGATGGTAACCGATGTGTTGACGGGATGTTTGGATTGGAGTGAAATAGTAACTGATGTGTTGACGGGATGTTTGGATTGGAGTGAAATAGTAACTGATGTGTTGACGGGATGTTTGGATTGGAGTGAAATGGTAACTGATGTGTTGATGGGATGTTTGGATTGGAGTGTAATGGTAACTGATGTGTTGACGGGATGTTTTAATGAAGTGTTATGGTAACTAATGTGTTGATGGGATGTGTTGATTTGATTGTAATGGTACATAATGTGTTGACGTGATGTTTTGATTGGAGTAATGGTAATTGATGTGTTGATGGGATGTTTGGATTGGAGTGTAATGGTAACTGATGTGTTGACGGGATGTTTGGATTGGAGTGAAATAGTAACTGATGTGTTGACGGGATGTTTGGATTGGAGTGAAATGGTAACTGATGTGTTGATGGGATGTTTGGATTGGAGTGTAATGGTAACTGATGTGTTGACGGGATGTTTTAATGAAGTGTTATGGTAACTAATGTGTTGATGGGATGTGTTGATTTGATTGTAATGGTACATAATGTGTTGACGTGATGTTTTGATTGGAGTAATGGTAATTGATGTGTTGATGGGATGTTTTGATTGGAGTGTAATGGTAATTGATGTGTTGATGGGGTATTTTGTAGGAGCGACAAGATCTCGGAGAGATTCTACTTTCCCTTAACTACCTACCAAGTGCAGGACGTTTGAACATTGACGTCATCAAGGCAAAACAACTCCTACAGACAGACATGATCGGGGGATCAGGTAATATGTTTTTACAAGTCGGCTTATTCACTTTTCATCCAAAGGCAGCATAGGTAATTCGGGTAGTTAGCACCGGTCATCAAGTTTCGGCAGTGCTTGTAGTTGACTTATCAAGCATTAACTTTGCAAAATGTTTTGTGTTCCAGGTAACCTACTGATTTATGCGTTTAAATGTTCGGTTAAAAGTCGTTTCAGGACTATCCAGTTCACGGTGAAGTACCTGGGTTTGTCAGACCATAATTTTACCTTCGCTTCTGGCTACATACGAGATTATATGAATTATGCATGTAGACATTTGAATACACCTTTATATGACACTGGGCGGAAGCTGGGCTACACTAGTGATCAATATTCTGAAGAGGCCATCACAAATACGCTGACACAAGTCTGATTATAACTTCATGATATCAACAAAATTCATTCAGTGACGATTTTACTGACTTTGTGATCGTTATATATAACGCGCTGTATTTATACTTGCAGATCCATTCGTTAAAGTGACAATGGTGCATTTCGAGAAACCAATAAAGACAAAGAAAACCACATGCAAGAAAAATACCATTGATCCTGTTTTCAACGAGTCGGTAAGCTTCAATGTGACGCCACAACAGTTGGAGAACACCAGTATCGTGATTACGGTGTGGGACTATAACTCCAAAAGTCGAGATGATTTTGTAGGCCGTGTAGTGATCGGCAAATACGGAACGGGACCGCACGAGTTCACCCATTGGAACCGGATGTTGAACTCACACAGATCACCGGTTGCTCAGTGGCACTCGTTACGAACGCGTCAGGAATGCGACCAGGTCTCCCCGGCATCCATAGCTGTGCCATGATGACAGTTTTCCTAGAAACAGAAATCCCACCGGCACGAACTTACTGCAGGCCAGGTTACAGCCACAAACGAGCAAATCTTGCTTGTGCTCCATCTAAACACTGCTAACAAAGCGACGAGCACCAGCCAATGCAATTTAACCAGGACTTTTGAAGTCGTAAACAATAACATTAAATGTTACTGCGTACCAGTGGACACGTAACACTACACCTGTTATTGGACATCTGGACATTGTTGGTTTTATTGATTTCATTGACCGGTAGAATACATAGATTTTAATGAAACTATATTGTATGCGGTAAACCTTATTTCAGGATATACATTAAATGTTTCTAATAAAAAAAATCGATTTTATTAAGGAGGAAGTGATCAATGAAAAATCACAAATATAAAACAGGATTAATTTAGGTAATGACACAAACGTTATACTTTGTATAAAAAAATAGGGTAAACATTTCAGTATGTCTCAGCGTTGTTAAACGACAAAAATGATCGTGTTATTTCAGTCAGGAACGTATAGATACATCCCTATTACAATCAATTCCAGAACCAGAAGTTTCTTATATTTGGTTATTTTACATGTATATCAAAATCAGTATATTTGTATTTTCATGCCGTATCAACGTCGTCAAACCTAATTGTATATAGATATAGACCTATACACTATAAGCAATATTACGGCAACGCACAAAGAAAACAGGAACGTTGATTTCAGTGAAGGGACGGTTATACAACTGTTCGGTATAATATATTGATAAGGTATATACAGTAAAAATCCATGACAAAAAAGCACGATCACACACCTGTTGCGACGAGGAATTTATATTTTGTCTATATTGTTTTGTTTACAATACTCCTGCCGGACGATGCTGATCATTATTGTATACGTTGTGGTATCTAACTGATTAATTTTGACAAGCCATTTTAATGAAGTGATATATGATTAATGCTATTTTACCAGGTTATATATATGTTGACTTGTTATGGAGCACGAATTTGTATACATGTTTTAAAGTCAAAAACTTCTTCCTGAATGAAACCATCTTGCTTTTTTCCGATAGGACATGGAAACAAAGTGGATGGCTGCTTATAAATACAGTGGTACTGAATGTTTTAGTACTATGTAAGTGTTGTAACAATCAGACATTTGTGACGAGGACGACATGTGTAATTCATATATACGTACATATGTTAGCGAAATGGTATGTTTATGTAAAGTACATCATACATTCATGTCAGTATAGTTTTTTTTTCAATCCTGAATTATTATCTCACACGAAAGTCCCACACATGTAGTGGTTGGGAGAGAGTACCACACATGTATTGGTTGGGAGAGAGTACCACACATGTATTGATGGGAAGAGAGTACCACACATGTATTGATGGGAAGAGAGTACCACACATGTATTGATGGGAAGAGAGAACCACACATGTATTGATGGGAAGAGAGTACCACACGTGTATTGATGGGAAGAGAGTACCACACGTGTATTGATGGGAAGAGAGTACCACACGTGTATTTATGGGAAGAGAGAACTACACATGTATTGATGGGAAGAGAGTACCACACGTGGTATTGATAGGAAGAGAGAACCACACGTGTATTGATGGGAAGAGAGAACCACACGTGTATTGATGGGAAGAGAGTACCACACGTGTATTGATGGGAAGAGAGAACCACACGTGTATTGATGGGAAGAGAGTACCACACATGTATTGATGGGAAGAGAGTACCACACGTGTATTGATGGGAAGAGAGTACTACAATTGTATTGATGGGAAGAGAGAACCACACGTGTATTGATGGGAAGAGAGAACCACACGTGGATTGATGGGAAGAGAGAACCACACATGTATTGATGGGAAGAGAGTACCACACGTGTATTGATGGGAAGAGAGAACCACACATGAATTGTTGTGTGGACAGGTGTAATTGTGTGGACAGGTATGTATTTATGTGTGGACATGTGTGTAGTTGTGTGGACATGTGTGTAGTGGTGTGTTGACTGTAGTGTAGTTCTAAGTGCAATCATACAGTTTTGTGAATATGTGTGTAGTTAAGCGGAAGGGTGCGTTTTTTTTGTGTGGGGCAATACTTCAATTTTCCCACATATCGTGGGATAGCCGTGTAGCTATGGATAGTAGGGTGTATTGATTTAACTTCCCGATGTGGTTTGATAATGTGGATACACAAGGGAAATATTGATCTGAACGGATTAAAAAATAGATACAACTCAGTTTAACTTAAAATGGAAGGACGCACGATATCTGTGTTCTGCTACATTCACTAAACATTTACGCAGTCAGTGCTCGTTATCCATAATGCAAGGCAACAATTTTCTCTGTATACTTGGTTCAGTCAGAGACGTATATATCACAGTTTGTTATATACTGAACAAAATAAGTTAAGGATCATAAACTTGAAACAGTGCAGTTTTACATACAAATAATAATATGATTATATTTTAAATTTTAATGACAGAATATTCATTTTAGTCTTTAATTACACAAAACAAATTCATTTGTGGTAATTGCTACCAAGAGCAGATAACCCTGAGTAACAGCACCCTTGAAATAAAAGTGTAAGAGGAAGTAGAGCAAGTAATAATGTAGACAAGGTCATCAAACTGCAATTGGCAGTTTAATAGGCAGTGTGTTGACATCAATAACTGCCCTGCAACGTCTGCACATGCTCCTTATTAGTCGTCGGTGGCTGATCTGTGGGATGCGCTGCCATTCCTCTTGCAGAGCAATCATAAGCTGTTGGCGGTTCTGTGATTAGGTCGAGCTGTGTGTAGCATGCTCGATAGGGTTCAGATCAGGAGAACGACTTGGCCAGTCCATGCGAACGATTGCTTCACGTTGAAGATAGTGTGACCACACGAGCACGGTGAGGACGAGCATTATCATCCATCAGAATAAAATCATGGCCAACAACTCCTGCAATGGGCCTTACTATAGGGTGTAGAATGTCGTCCCTGTATCGAACAGCTGTTAAAGATCCATTGTCTATGATGTAGAGGTCTGTATGGAAGTCAACACTGATCCCTGCCCAAACCATCACTGACCCACCACCAAAGCGATCATGCTGGACAACACAGCAGTCTGCATAGCGCTCTCTTTGGGTTCTCCATACCCTCCTCCTACCGTCATGGAAGTCAACACAAAACCTAGACTCATCTGTGAACATAACATTTCTCCAATGACGTAATTGCCAATTCAAATGATGAGTGGCCCATTGATGTCTGGATTGTTGATAAAATTGTGGACTGCTGGTCTTCTAGCTCGTAAATTAGAGGCATGGAGTCTGTTTCTGATTGTCTGGGATGAAATCCTTAGATTTGTAGCACGCTGAAACTGAAGATTCAAGACAGGAGCACTCAAAACCGCTGACGTCGTGCCGTGATGCAAATGAATCTGTCCTGTCGGGCTGTCGTACAGCGTGGTCGTCCAGATCTGGGGCGTTGACGGACGTTATTTGTTGATAGCGATTCCATAGCCTACTAATCAAGCTCTGAGAAACATGAAGCTGTGCCGCCACATTTGTGTTGACCAGCTTGAAGGACTATTCGCGCGGCTTCCATATCATTTAAATGTCTTCGCATGATTAGTTTTTCAGTTTTCGTTACAAATTGATTAAATGTTTCCAAATTAACTTTTTTTTGCTTAGAAGTAACAGAATCAAAAACAATTTTCTCTTTCACACCACCATAGTTAACTAGAGCGGAACGGCAAGACCTTCAGTATATATGACATGACTTTGTTATATATATCAATACATGATTTGAATTTTTAAAGATATTATGGTCACAATTTATGATCCTTAACTTATTTTGTCCAGTATATATATCTCTGGTTCAGTGTATACATCTGAAACGTTCTTTAAATTTCATGAACATGTAAGACTTTTTTACTTTAAAAGAGAAGGAAAATGTTGAGTAGAAAATTATTTATTTTCTAAACTTGAAACAGTTTAAGCTTAACAATAACTTTTATAAGGTGCCTAAGCTGCCTGTCCGTCCATCGTCACACGTATCTTCTGGTTGTGATTCCGTCTAATCCAACACTACACAAACTAAGATAGGATAAGGTGATAAGAAGTAATCTGGGCCAATAATTTTCGTCTTTCATCAGTAGTATTACAGTGTTTTCCAAAGGGCTGACAACCTAGTAATTGATCGTAGCCCCTAGAAGATCGAAGATGAGGCGATCGTGGATAAACTTCAGTCATCGGTTCGGTACGCTAGTCTTCAGTTCTAAAAAATCAACACGGTCATTTTATCATAATAGTCATTTTTCTGTGATATATGTAAAGGTCGGATGTTTCAATTTGACGGTAGTCAAAGGTCAAGGCCATTCCGATAGAGTCTCTAATAATGGGAGGGGACGCCGTTTCTATATAAAGGGATAAATGTGACCAGTATTATTATTGCTTATTAATAAATGATAATTAATTATGTTAATAACAGAGTGTCACAGAGTACAGAAAATAATTATTGCATTAATCAAGCTAGACGGAAACATATTAAATATATTAATAACCAAACTACCGGAATACAGATATATATATATCAGGAGTACGTATGTAATGTATTGCTAATCAAGCCAGATCGGAGTACAGATATAATATATTATTACCCAATATATAGGAGTATAGATGTAAACAAATGTCAATCAAGCTAAATGAGTACAGTTATAATATATTGCTAACCAAGCTACATGAGTACAGTTATAATATATTGCTAACCAAGTTACATGAGTACAGGTATAATATGTTGCTGATCTGTCTGAAAGAGTAGAAATGATATGTTGCTTATTACAAATTTGTAAGAAACAGGAGAGCATATTTAAGCCGATAATGGTAGTCTGTCTCGTTACATTACACCCTAATCTTGATTTTCGCGCGAAATGAAGTCCGTTTGAAATATGGGTCTTATGCCAATCTTTTGTCAAACGTTTCATGATTTCTTTAACGAAATCTCAATAAAATAAACGTTTAAA